AAAAAAAAAAAAAAAAAAAGGAAAATATGTGAGAGAAGAGCCTTTAAAACCTGAATGTGGAAAACTTTCCTAATGATAAACAGAAATCCAGGAACGATAAGGGAAAAGATGAACACGTGACAACATTAAAAAACAGAACATTTTACACGAGACAAAATCATTAGCAACATAAACAAATGATAACGCAGGGAAAGAACCTGCAGCGTGGATCGCGGAGTTACCGTCTGTAAAGTGGGAAGAGCTGAGGAGACAGAAGAAGAAGGCAGCCCCAAGGCTGTGCTCAACCTCCTCCCAAAAAGAGAAACCCTGGCCGGGCGCGGTGGCTCAGGCCTGTCATCCCAGCACTTTAAGAGGCCGAGGCGGGCAGATCACCAGATCAGTAGATGGAGACCATCTTGGCCAACATGGTGAAACCCTGTCTCTACTAAAAGTATAAAAATCAGCTGAGTGTGGTGGTGGGCGCCTGTAACCCCAGCTACTCGGGAGGCTGAGGTGGGAGAGTGGCTTGAACCGGGAGGCGGAGGTTGCAAGCTAAGACCGCGCCACTGCACTCCAGCCTGGGCGACAGAGCAAGACTCCATCTCAACAACAACATCAATCAATCAATCAATCAACAAACAATAAATAATAAATGAAAGAGATCCTAAGGGCAGCTGCACCAAGACAGCACTGCGAGGGAGAGGCCAGCCCGGCGATGGGGACATGCAGCGATGGGGATGCCCGGTGATGGGGACGGGGCACCAGGAATCGGGTCGGGATTTGGGCAGGGGAGGCGGGTCCATCTTTGCTCAGGAGTCCCACGCCCAGGGGTCTTTTCCACAGAAGAACCGATGCCATCAGTCATAGCCACACAGAGTGATCCAGACGTCCATGGAAGGCACACACCACAGGCCAGGCTGCTGCGGAAAGGAAGGGTCCCTGTGACAGTGTGGAGGCATCTCCACTTTTCCGTGCACACGTGTGATTTGCTTGCATCAAATACACACCAGGCCAAGGAAGGCCACGCGAAGGGGAACGGACACACTCACCTACAGGGAGGAGAGCACACAGGGACAGCGGCACAGGCGAGGAAAACGTGGTCCCTGTGAATTCACCTTGTTTTATGTTTTGACTCTGGACCATAAAATATTTTATATATCATAGAACAAAATCCTCGTGCTTTGCCTTTTTCAAAATTTTAGACAGGGTCTTACTCTTTCACCCAGGCTGGAGTGCAATGGCACGATCTCAGCTCACTGCAACCTCCGCCTCCCGGGTTCAAGCAATTCTCCCGCCTCAGCCTCCCAAGTAGCTGGGGTTACAGGTGCTCACCACCACACTCGGCTGATTTTTGTATTTTTAGTAGAGACGGGTTTCACCATGTTGGCCAGGCTGGTCTCAAACTCCCGACCTCAGGTGATCCACCCACCTTGGCCTCCCACAGTGCTGGCATTCGCGGTGTGAGCCACAGCACCCGGCCCGTTGTGCTCTTGGAATGGTAAGTGCATGTGGGGTGGTTCCGAGTGCCGGATCCCTGCAGCCTGTGTGGACATGGCCCCTTCAGAAAGAACCACAGGAATGCACTCGGACCCTGGAGGCTTCCCGGACCACGCCGGGTGCAGATCAAACGCAAAGCCCGTTGAGTCGGGGGTAAGGGGGCGTGGTCATGGCTTCCCGGGGCTCTGAGGGCCTCTGGGTCCCAGCATGTGGGCTTCTTCCTAGCTCTACCTTTCAACCACCTTCCCAACGTCCTGGCGTGAGAGGGGCCCCATTCTTGGGCTCAGTCACATCTCCCAGCTGCCCAAGCAACAGGTTCCTGCTGGCGGCGGATGCCCAGGACACCCGGGACACGGCACCCTGTGCTGCCTTGGCAAACGCGCTGAGGCCTCGCACGTGGGCCCCTGGGCCACGTCCTTGGGAGATGGCCCCTGGGCCCCCGCCTGCTGGTATCACTGGCCCACTCCCTGTCACGGCCACTCCCCATCCCTGCCTCGGGGCCCTCCCTGCTTTCCTGAGCCCGGCTGTGCCCTGAGGTACTGTGGTTTCCCAGCAAGCTTGGTGTTCTGTCGCAGGCTTTTAGACGTGCCGTTTCTTGGCTTCATGTCCAGCACTAACACAGGCTCAGCTTCTGTCAGCTGTTTGGGCAAAAAGTATGCACGGAATCGCAGTGCTAACAGCTGGCAGTCTGCTGTGGAGTCGACACTGCAGAAAGGCTACATTCAGGTGGAGGCAGGGAACCGGCGGGCATGCCTCGGGGGTCGGGCAGCAGAGGCGACAGACACCCCACCGTGTCTGTGGACGCTCCAGCAACACGTCCGTGCCTGGGTGTGAGGGCGGCTAGGGGTCTCCGCAGGGCTGCTCACATTTAAGGACGCTGTGGTCCCTAAGCATGAGCCACTCATCACTAGGGGCTCAGACTCCTGAGCTGGGGGTGCCACGGTTCCCAGTGGGCTCTCTCAGAACGGGGTCGTGCTCCACGCTCACTCCCAGATGGAAATGAAAAGGCACAACAGAACCACCCAGTGGGGAGAGGGTGCCTGGGCCCGAAGAGCAGACCCACACCCACTGCCACTGTTGAGGGAGGAGCTCCCAGGACTTGCCTCTAATTCAGTCTGGGAAACAAAGGCCAGGCTTGGCCTGAAGGCGTGCGGTTCCTGCTCCGAGTCTGTTAACGAGTGCGCTCGGACTCTGACTGATTCCTTACTCCCGCGTACTGTGAATTCAGTTAAAAAATACTCGGGAACAAACATGGTAAACCTTCCCTTAAAGAACTTTATTTCTCTATTTTTATATGGATCATTTATTAAATTAGGAGGCTAAAAAGTAAAAATATATTTTACAATCAAAGAAAAATCTGGACAATGGACCCCAGTAAAATAATCAGAAGCACATGTTCTGAGACCCCGCCCGCTGACACCCTGCAGGGCAGCGCCGTGGAGAGCATCTGCAGAGTAGAAAGGAGCAGGGAGCCTCCGGCGACCTGTCTTCTGTCTCCGGAGCCCTGCCCGAGGCTCCGAGATGGCACAGTCAGGCTGTCCTTAGTGACCGCTGCCACAGAGCTGGCAACTGGCATCTTCAAACCCAGGAGCAGGAGCGGCAGAGGCCTGGCAAGGCCCGGGCCCTCAGACACCAGGGGCCTAAGCCCAGCTCCCAAACCCGCTGCAGCCTGCCCTTGTGAGCTGGCGAACAAGCCGGTCCTTCTGAGTGCGACGACCTCATCCACACCTGACAGGCAGGGGCGGGGGCGGGTGGGGGGCGTGAACCAGCTAATTCTGGGACCGCTTGGAGGGGCTCAGCAAGCTGCTTCTACAGTAAGCCTTCAAGCAAAAAATAAAGCATAAAATGCAGGAAAGAAGAATCTTATTAAAGGACTTACAAAATGTGATTTATCTATTAAAAAAATAAAGCGTTCGTGAAAAAGAAAACTAAGAGATGGCAGCAAGCGTGGTCATCGGCAAAGGGTTGCTCTCCCTCTGGCGAGGCGGCCCCCACTGTGCGCCTCCCTCCGGCCCCCACTCGTCATTGGCAAAGGGTTGCTCTCCCTCCAGCGAGGCGGCCCCCACAGTGCGGCTCCCTCCGGCCCCGACACGGGCTGCTCAGGAGCTGGCAGCAGGGGCCACGTCCTCTCCAGGAGACACCCACAGAGCCACACGTGCATGGTGTGGCAGTCTCACTGCACCCCAGCAATGCGAAGGCAGAAACCGGGGCTGGTGGCCACACCTGGGCGCCTGGACGCCGAAGCCCCCAGCACAGCGAGGCCTCCAAGTGTGGCCTGTGGTCTGTCCCGGGTAAGAGTTATTAATATCACAGAACATTATCTAGAACATTCCAGTCCCGCCTGACACTTTCATTCCCAATGGAGAAGACGTAAGACCAGGCCATCTGAGACGGAATCCCAGGGCCCTCTGAGAGGTCGGTGTCTGCTGAGCAAACACCATGTCTTTCTTCTTCACACGATCAAAGGCCTTTAGGACCCACGGCTGAAGAAGGTGCCTGTTGCCGCCATGTCCCTCCCCCACGGCCACCACACACTTCAAGTTTACAAAAATAAATATTTATCAACAGTATATTTGACAAAAACCACCCCCAGTCGGTGGCGGAAAGCAGTATTTTCTAGCTGACACTGAAACTTAACCTATTTTTTCGAGGGAGAAAAAGACTAAAATGTAAGCACTAACTTCCTCCTTCTGCATCTTCCACAGAAGAGCCACTTGTGGGCCTTCTCTTTCTGTCCGTATCAGTGGGTTTCCGTCCGAAGGCTGGGGGCAGATTGAACCACAAGCAGCAGACATGCGGGTGCACACAAGCGTCTCCATGGCATGCGGACTACGTAAAGTGCATCACTTGTGAGAAGTTTCTCAAATTCCTGACTTTCATAACCAGGTGTCACCTAAAGTCTGTCCTGCAAACCAAGATGCTACACACGGTGCCCAGGCAGGCAGAGGTGAGGCGTGCCTCCCGCCTCAGAAAGCTTTTACGCGGCCATGTTCGCCAGGCTTCCCGAGCCCACGCTGAACCTAGGTCCCGGGCACAGCAGCTGCCCAAGCTGTCGTCAGCAGTCGGCTGGCAGTGCCGCAACACCCTCTCAGAATCATGCACGTGCCGCCTCTATCACCTCCCACCCCAGCCTTGCAAGGCCTGTTGAGAAGAGAAGCCCCCTGGGAGGACACGACGGAGCTGGCGTGAGCAGCAGGACAGACGGACGGCAGCCTTCCGCGGGTGAAGGACCCGGCTTCAGATGCCCGCTGGCTGGCAATCAGGCAGAGCCCGGCCAACCGTGGCAGGCTCCCCTCCTCATGCCAGGTGTGGGTTCATCCTGCCTTCAGGCTGGAGTCTGTCACAAGGCTGGCTGGACAGTGGCCAGGTGAGCCAGACCAGAGGCGGCCCCACGCCATCCACAGGAAGCGGCTCGGCTCACCAGACCCAAGCCCTGGGCAGGGGCCAGGCTCACAGCAAAGCGCGTTAGGGCAAGGACGTGAGTTTTCGGCTGGGAAGTTCTAAAAAAACCCACAAATCAGTGTGAGGGATTGTGCGTGCCTTAATCAACAGCTCTATTCCAATTACGTCACATCACAAAATGCCATGAATGGAATCAGAAGGCGCTCCACCACCTCCAACACCCTGGCAGAAGCAGCTGCTCTCTACAGCAAGAACATTTTCCAGAACAGCATGAGAAGGGGAGACGCACGTCCTGGGGACAGGAGAATGCGCCGAGACCTCCCAGCACAAGAGGCGAAGGGAGCCCCCGCCCCGTCCTGGGCCGCCAGGAACCGAAAACCCCCATGCACCCAGAGCAGGTGTGGGCGGGGCAGCCCAGACGTCCACGGGAGGGGCGACAGGGGCCGTGTCACGGGGATCTTGTTGGGACAGCATTCCTTGGGGAGCGCCTGGTCAGCGTGTCCGAAGAGCTGGGGTGACACGGCAGCGAGGGCGGAGGCTCTACGGCTCCTCCCCCATCTGCAGCAGGGAGTTGATGGCGGCGTCCTTGTTCCCTCGCTGGGCTTCCAGCACCGAGCGGATCACCTCCTGGTCCATGTTGGGGAACATGTCCTGGATGGCTTTCAGGTCCTCCTCGCTACAGCGGGGCTGGGCATTCACGGCGGCCGGGGGCAGGGCCACGGGCACCATGCCGGGGCTGCAGACGGCGGGCATCCCTGGAATCAAAGATCAAGTTTGGTAAAAACATCGGAAGGTTCCAGAAGTGCCACACTAGCTCCTGCTGAAAGAAGAAAACAACGCATCCCACCGGCCTTCCTCAGGGAGGGGCCACCTCGGGTCTCAGCAAACACCAGTCCCGAAAGACACCCTGGAAATACAAACCCTCAAACAGCAACGCCAGGCACAGCCACGGGGAAGACGGGGCAGGGATCCCCAGGCACAGCCACGGGGAAGGCGGGGCAGGGGTCTCTGAGACGCATCCTTCACTAACTCATGTTCCTTCCACACAAAAATCAAAGTTTGATCTTTCAAATCTCACCCGAGCCTGTTTTCTAACTAGCAGGCTGGGGGGTGGTGGTTTGATCCCTTCAGAACTCGTGAATTTGCACTGCACACGCTTGTCTTCACTGACCAGAGGGCACACAGCATTCTCTTCATCTGGGGAACGGACTACACGAAATGTCACGCCCGCTGATCCAAACACTGCAGGGTCTGAGCCTCCTCCTTTATCAGGCATTCTACAAGATGCTTTTGCAGCTTGGCCAGTGTGTCACTAAACTGTGTGCTGGTGGAGCAATCACCACAGGCACTGAAGACCTCAGCAAAGCTGCAGCCGATGCCCAGAATGACAACCACACACACATACAAACTACACCAAAAAATGCTCACAAAACTCACGCAAGTCAGGCAGCAGGTGTGGTGCATCGGGGACCCTCAGTGTACTGGGGCCAGCGTCCAGGGTTCCTGGCATCACCACCCCACAGCTACGCAGGCCCCTTGCCCCGTGTCTCATGCGGGTGGACACACTGAGATGCAATCTATCAAGCAGGAGCTGCACAGTGGTTCAGCCACTGCAGCACACACACCCCAAAGGCATGATGTGGCCGGACTTAAAGCTCGCCTCCCAGCCTGGTGGCCACTCCCTAAAACCACAAGCAGCCCTGAGCACAGGCAGCGTGCGCAGGGCTCAGCGACCAGCGAGGCACAGAGCTCCTCCTGCAGCAGCGGCTGGAGCAGGGCAAGGGTTCACTGCGCACCCGTTCGTTCACCTTTAAAAGCACGATCTCCCAGCTAGGCTCACTGGAGCACTAGAGCCCCAATCTGAGGATAGGACTTTTGTTCCTTTCTACACTCGGAGGACCCTAAAGGCAACAGAAGCCATTTCAACTCTGGCCTGAACCAACACCGGCAACAAGGACCTGCAGTGGTGGAAACGGAGCGGACGGGGCTGGCCGCTGAGCCTCCAGTGCCAGCTGTAAAGACCAGGGCTCCTCAGAAAGGAAGGCCGCCGCTTCCCAGCTCCTTCCAGGCCAGGCCGACTCTTCCTCCACACCCACCCCTGCCTCCTCTGCTTCTCGGCTCTCTCTGGGCCAGGCCCACCTTTCCTCCACACCCACGCCTGCCTCTTGTCCTGGCCAGCGGACACCTCACCTCACTGGGAAAGCATCATCCCCACACTGATCAGCCTTTCAGCAATGAGGGAAAATGAACCAAACCATGGCCAGGTGGGGACGTGGCCACCCTCACCACCCTTTCTTCTTCCTCAAACAAGACAAAGGCTCGGCCGCTACCTGTCCTGGAGGGACCCCCGGGACCCCCGTGGCTTTCCGGGCGCCCCAGCCGGCAGGGGGGCAGGAGCTCAGCCATCACCTGTCCCTGCCCACACGGCTCCCCACAGCGTGGCAACAGGAGGAATGGAGCTCGACACTGCCACTCTCTCCAGCCTTTTTCAGTCTGACAGAGAAGGGACAGGAGGGGAGATCGCTGCAAAATCGACAATGGTGACTGCGATGCTGTGATGTCATGGCCTGGGGCGCCTGAGAAACCCGCTCTGCTGACAACGAGGGGATGTGGCACCGAATGGCCCTCAAGTGAGTCCCAACAGCCCGGCCCCAACACACTCGGGACCAGGCACCCCAGGGGAAGAGGTGAGTGCTTCCATGGTGTGGGCCGAGGGGCAGTGGCCTGGCTCACTCCCCTCCTCCCTGCAGGGCAGAGGCCATGTGCCTGGCCTGAGCCTGACCCATCCTGGTTACCAAGTGTGATATGTCCATCAAGCCCTCCGGGAACGGAGAGTGCACCGTGTCAGGGCTGCCTGGGGACCTCAGGAGGACAGACCAGGAGCTCTGGGGCCTGGCGGAGAGCAAATTCCCCGAAACGTGGGCAGAGAGGACGCCACGGGAGCCGGGGGCAGCCCAGACCCCACCTGTAGCAGCCCTGGGAGGAGTGGTGGGCGGCTTCGCTGTGTCCCTGCTGTCCACCGTGCTCAGCGTTCTGCACCCACACGGATGGACGTGCAGCACAGGACAGGCCCCACCTCACATTCTTCACGCCGCGTGAATCTGCTGTCACACCTCGGCAAAATCAAATACTCTACTGACAAACACAACGGTACCCAGGAAAACCAAAATCTGTCCCTTTTCCATTCAGGAAAAATTGCTCCGAGAACACCCTGACCTCAGACCACGCAGCACGATGAGCCCCGGCCGCTGGTGGGCAGGGGGGCATCGGCCCTGCTCAGGCTGAAGGCATGTGGCTCTGGGCCCCAGACGTCTCGCACGACAGTGGAAAGACATCCAAAGAGCAGGTGGGGACGACCATCCAGCTCAGAGACTGTTCCGGAACTCCCAAAGCTTGTTGCTCTTCTCCCTCCACAGAGCGTATCACAAAGAAGAAAACCTGCGTGATTCCTTGTTTCACAGCGACCGAGTTAGCGGGTTAATGAACACAACAGCAGAGAGCTCCACGTGACAGTCTGGGAGACTTAAGCATCCAATTCTCATTTTGAATGGAACCATTTTGTATTTTAAACGACATGTGCTGCTCAGCTGCAAACTCCGTGATCGCTGGAATTCCATCTGCGAGCGGAAGCATGCCTGGGCTGTCGGGTGAGCCCTTGGCTGGCCCTCTCTGGAACTCACGGGCGCTGTGAACGCTGGCTGTTCCCATGCGTGGTGCCACGCGTGCACGTTCTCTATGGACCTCCCTCTTGTCCGTCCTGCCAGCAGGTGTCCACCTGCGCGTTCAGCTTTGCTTTCATACTTTATGGACAGGCATCCACGTCACAGTCTGGTCGGCTCCACAGAAACCAGTGGGGGTTATGCCCACAGAGACGCAGGCCAGGATGACAGGAGGGACTGCGCTGCTGAGGACGTAGGACAGTAGCTGTCCCCTCACCCAGAGAAAAGCACTCCAGGCCTGTGTGAAATGGAGGCGCACAAGGGAATAGACAGAAACAGCGTCAACTGGCAGCCGCAGCCCTGGTGAACAGAGAATGAGCCGATGTACGCTCTGGTGCTGCTGTCCAAGGCCGGGCTGGGGAGGCACTGGACACCCCACTTTCCACGCCGACTCTCCTCCCACCACCAGGCAGAAGGAGGTAGAAAGCAACACGGAGGAGGGAAAAGCAAGGAGGGCCCCAGAGGACAGTGCGGCCGGCGCCACCATCCGCCTCTGGGCCTGTCTCATGGGGACCCTCAGGGCAGACCCTTGGCAGTGGCTGCAGCCCGAGTGCCCCCCCTTGCCAGGGACAGCGGAGGAACAGTGCAGGCAGGGCTGAGGCCCAGTGGCGACTGCACTGGTTTCTCACGTGCGGAGAACGCACAGGAAATTGAGCAGTTGGCTGCCGTCACCGACCTGGCGGTCTCTGTCCACTCTGCAGCTCCGTGGAAGAGAACGCGCTTCATGAGGCCACGCAGTTTCCAGATGCTTCACGCCTAGATGTTTCCTTAAAATTGAGGCTAAAAACCCCGCTATAATCACATGATGCCTGCCACTATTTGAAATCTATAAAATATCCAATTTGGTAATCAAAATAATACTTTGTTTAAAAAAATCAAAACTTAAAACTGTTCTCTTCAGGCCATGATCATGGCATAAAAGCTTTAATGATCAAGCTGTGCTTTGTGTCCCAGCCTCCCTGCCTCACTGTTGTGGTCACACTTTCTTTTTGTGAAGGAGACGGTCTGACCTCAGCGCACTCGGCTTCTGAGTTGCTTTGTGGGGGACTCTGGTTTTTCACTGAGGAAAATGGATGGTCCTCGCGAGGGCTCGGCCAGCGTTCAGCCCTCAGTCTCCATAGAGGTGGCAGCCAGGCTCAGACAACACGGGAGGCTCTCAGGGCCTGAGCCCACCCAACGTGCACAGTGAGCCCCCGAGACCTGCACCCTGCGCGGGCGTCTCTGGGCAGCGCCCAGCAGGCGGCAGCTGAACAAAGGAGCGGCGGAAGGGGCTGGTAAGAAGCCGGGCTCTCCCCTCCTGGCCCGCTCCCGCAGCCCCGCCTCAGCAGAGGGCTTCGCCAGGCTGCTGTGCACGCACACAGGCCCGAAGCCACGCAGCCAGGCAGAGCAGGCGGCACAGCCTTCCGCACTACGTGAGTCATAAACAGTTGAAGCTGTGGGCGACACACGTGCTCTGGCCAAGATGCACTTTGAGATTCCACTTCTGAGAAGAAAACCCTGGTGTGAATCCGCCGTGCTCGCCCAGTCGGCCCGAGACGCCCTGAGCACGCGGCCGCCAGCCTCTCCGAGGTCTCCGCAGACTTCGCCCTCCAGCTGGCAGCGGCTGCTGGGAGGACAGACTGTGATCACAGATACTCAGAAATTAGGGTACTCAGAGGAAAATCAGGGCATCAGCTTCCAGTGAAGAAGGGCGCCTTGTTCACACCCTACAGTGCTGTTAGGACAGTTAAAAAATACTTCAAAGGCTCCTAAAAGCAATGCTCTCCTAATGGGAACCAGGGCTCCTGGGAGAAACAGCTAACGCCAGGGCTCAGGCCGGAAATGCAGAGAGCCAGGGGCTTCCTGCAGTGCCAGGAAGCAGGAAGAGGCCCCGAGAAGGACCGGAGGAGGCCAAAGAACAAAGACCCTGCCTGAGGGGGCTCCCTCTGGCCAAGTCTGGGATAATTTGAGTGAAAAAATAAACAACATTCGTAAGGGATTCTGATCCACGGAATAAAATAGGAAACTGCAAACCCTTTTTCTGAAGGGTCGGATAAACTGAAGAAGTTTATCTGAAGAAGTCGGATAAACTGAAGAAGTTTATCTGAAGAAGTCGGATAAACTCGGGCTGACAAGGGCGGGATCTCCCCGTGGTCCTGCGGTGCCTCCCACACGGACACATTTTAGCTCCCGGCGGGATCTCCCCGTGGTCCTGGGGTGCCTCCCACACGGACACTTCTTAGCTCCCGGGAAGTGGCCAGGCAGAGTCCTGTGAGGGGTGAGCAAGTCACACCACTAGCCCTGCGCTGGGTGGAATCTGTACTGAGTAAAATGCGAGGGCCCTGCCAGCAGCCCCGGGGAGACTCAGCCCTACCCTGCAAGGCCGCATCAGCAGCCCCACCAGGTCCCTGACTAGAGCACACCCCAGGAGCAAGATGGGGACCCCTCCAGGACAAGGGAGGCAAGGCCACGGAGGGCCAGCGACCCCGGGTTGGATGCTGTGGCCCCCCAGGACACTCAGACGGGGTCCAAGCAGGGGACAGTGTCACCTTCATCTGGACGGCTGTCCTGTGCCAGGAACACCCCTGCTTTATGGGAAACGCACGCCTGGGGGTGGGGTGTGGGGCTGGGGGCTCCGGTGGGGCGGCAGGTGGACGAGTCCTCACGGGCTCTGGCAGATGTCCCTGCATCTCCTTGGTAACTTTCCTATGAAGTGTGCGGCTGTTTCAAAATTTACAATGTCTATCAAAAGAAAATTTCAAAGTCTGTTTATAAAGAAATCTAGCCTTTCCTAAAACAAGCATTTTAGGGAAAACTTGAAAGGCATCTACAAAGAGAATTAAGGATAGGAACCAGAAAGAGGTATGTCAATCAATGTTCTCTGTCATCTGAATGCTCTTCCAGCCAGATACACCCCGGCGCTGTATTCAGTCGATGGAACTGCACCCCCTAAAAAGACAGGCCGAGTCCTAACTCCAGCCTGCACAGGGGGTCTTAAGACCCAGTCTCTGCAGATGTGAGCAGGTGAGGATGATGGCATGCTGGGGCGGGTGGGCCCTCAATCCACGGACTGGGGTCCTCATGGGAGGAGGAGGAGGCAGCCACAGAGCGCCCGGCCCAGAAGCTAGAGGAGACGGGGAGGATCCTCCCCACAGCCTTGGCGAGTGAGCGGCCCTGCCTGCCAGGGGTTGGACTTCCAGCCTCAGGAAGCTGGAGGGCCTGGGTCTCTGTTCTTTCAGGTTGCCCATCTGTCTCCAACTCAGGACAACCAAACAGAACTTCACTAGCGCCACGAACTGCACGCCACAGAAGGCACTTCCACCCCACAACGGCGGCTCTGGGCTGTCCCAATTACAAACCAGAACCCCCAGGAGCCACTCCAGGGGCACCCAGGGCACAACAGGGCCCCCAGGGCAGCAGAGCTCCCCTGGCCAGGCTCCAGGCTCAGGAACACCTGCGGGGCTCCCGTGCTCGCCCGTTTCTCTGCCACAGTGCTGGCTCTTCCGCTTACCCAGATGCCCGTCCTCCTCTAACTCTGAATGCCTAACGGCTGCTTCTGCGTTTCTGGCTCACCTCCGGTCACTTCCTATGAAGCATCCTTTCCTCAGTGATGGGGCGCAGGTACTGCCTCTGCTGCGCTGGTGGTTTTCTTTCTTTTCTTTTCTTTTCTTTTCTTTTTTTTTTTTGAGATGGAGTTTCGCTCGTCGCCCAGCCTGGAGTGCAGTGGCGCAATCTTGGCTCACTGCAACCTCCACCTCCCGGGTTCACGCCATTCTCCTGCCTCAGCCTCCCAAGTAGCTGGGACTACAGGCGCCCGCCACCACACCCAGCTAGTTTGTTTGTATTTTTAGTGGAGATGGGGTTTCACCGTGTTGGTCAGGATGGTCTCGATCTCCCGACCTCATGATCCTCCTGCCTCGGCCTCCCAAAGTGCTGGGATTACAGGCGTGAGCCACCGCGCCCGGCCCCAGGCTGGTGGTTTTCTAAGACACTGGACACCACAGAGGCCCTGCTCAGACACGGGCTCTGCTCTTTCCTCTGGAGAAAGGCAGCCCTGGCACCTGCGCAGGCGGCTTTACGTGGAAACAGAGTCTGCGATGTGAGCAAGTGAGCGCAAGGCCATGCTGTTCTCATAAGCAGTTTCGTCAGAGAATGTCCTGAACACCAGTGGACAGACCAGAGTCTCCCAGCGCCGTCCCCTCCTTCCCACCATCAGGCTGGGTTTCAGGCCACATCAGGTGGGTCTAGGGCAAGGTCCTGACTCCCAAGGTGGCCTTTCTGCATCTGTGCGGGATGCTGGCAGGACTGGGGTGCTGACCAGGCCTCTCCACTCCAGCTGGGCTGGACACCAGCACCGGCCTGACAGCACTCTCGCCTGCCAGCAGCTCTGTCCCATCCCAACCCCAAAGCAGCCCGAGCACAAGCAGCCGGGGCCTCACGCAGGCCCCGAGACCCTCCCCCAACACCACCACGCATCCCCAGCGCCCTGCCCACAACTTGGCCACTTCCACGGCCTGGTCCCCCAGTGCAGAGGGACCCGCGCTCTGCCAGACACCAGTTCCCCGGAATGAGAGGCCACCTTGGGAGGAGAACCAGGGAGGCCACAGGCTCCCCCTGAGCACCTCCTCTCAGGGGCTGCTGTCCCCCCGCCTGCTGAGGACGCTGGGCCCGTCCATGGTGGGGGCCGGCCTTGCACCAGCTGCTACGACAGCGACAGCTGGACCAAAAATGCAACAGCGTGAAAAGCGACATTCCCGCTTGGTGTTGCTGCAGCCACCGGCTGCTCACTCTTAACAGTGACACACGACAACGGTCGCGACAGCGCAGTGCAGAGCACTCGTCGCCCGACAGGGGTGTGAGGTTCTCCTGCAGAGAGCTGGGCACGACGAGGTTTCAGTCACATTTCCACACCTCTGAAAATTTCAACTCATCTCATTTCTGCCAACAATTAGAAAAAAAACCAATTCTATTCTCTAGATATGCAAACAAAATTCAAACGTAATCCTTGGCTCCCTAGCCTAGAACGATCTGCGTGCAGTCGGCACGTCTGCAGGATTCTAGAACGGATGACGTCCCCCCACCGGCGCTCTAAGCCCGGTTCCCTCCTCCTGCGCCCGCCCTAGGCCCTGGGGTTTCTACCAGGGGAGAGGCACCCAGGGAGGAGGGGGCACACGCACCTGTGATGGGCACGTAGCCGACGCCCTGCTGGTACACCGTCGGCATCAGGACCACAGGCTGGGGTGGCATCACCATGGCAGCTGGCAGCAGCTGGAACACAGCGGAGATGGTCCCGGGGTCAGGAAGGAACATCTACCCATCAGAACCTTAGGAATCGCCCTCCCCATGCTAGCCCCGAACCCAGCTGTGAGCCCTGAGTGCACAGGGGACGCCGGGGCCCACTCCCACCCCCGCACCACCTCCTCACATCCAGGAGGTGACATGGCTCAGGCTTACAGATCCCCCGCTAACTGGGATGTGACGGAGAGACGATGGGGTCAGGAGGGACATCCCAGTGTAGGTGTCAAGTGGGCCTGGGGGGAACCACACTGCACAGCTGTGGTGTCTGAGTTTAAAACTGTCAACTTGAGATAAGTCACTGCACTGCTGTCGTCTCTGAGTTGAAAACTGTCACCTGCAGGTAAAGTCACTGGGGCGTCATGACGGTTCTGCGTATGAAAGCGTCGGTTAAAGCTGCGTCCTGAGACATTTACACGTGGTCACTCACGGCTGGGACTTGCTTTAAAATATCCCAGCGTTAACAAAAAGGGAGTGGGAGGAGCCAAGATCGCCCAGAAGAGCGGCTCCCTGCTGCGCCCTCTCCGCTGTCACGTGGGCCTTGCATTTCCCACAGCACCATTTTTCAGTAACAACCTAAAAATTCCCTGAATGATGATACAGAGAAGATAGCAGGAGTTCTGTTCCAGGAGCCTCTAACTGGCCCTCCTGACGCCCCCAGGAGCTGCAGGTGTCCTGAGGATATAGACAGCTGGGAGCCAGGGCAGCTGACGTGCTGGCCCCACGGCCAGGCCTCGACTTCCTGACCCCGAGCGCGGCAGCCCCCAGGCTTCCCCCACATCTCCAGAGATGCCCTTCCACACCCTGGCCAGTGCCTGCCCTGTGGGGAGGAGCCTAGTGTCCCGCAGGGCCCAGGGCTGTATCTCAGACCCTGGAGGGCTGCTCAGCTGGACCCTAAGGGCAGAGCTTGAAAGGGCTGTGAGGGACCTCCGAGGACACAGGGGCCTGCAGTGGAGACCACCACAAAGGGTGGGCCCATCTTAGGAACACAAACAACCCTGATGCTGTTTCCCCAGACAGAATCGATGGGCAGGAGCAGTGGGCGGGGCAGCTCCTCTCTGCCACCAAACCACCCAGGGCCCCTGCCCTCTGTCCTCAGAACGCTGAGCCCTGCTGTTTGACGGACTCAGTGCCTCCAGGAAAGAGACCAGGGTGTCTGCGGGGTGGCACAGCCCCGACGTGTCCCAACATACCCTGACCCGCCCCACCCCAAGGCCCCTGACGTGTCCCACCCCTCCCCGATGCCCCTGATACCAGGCCGGCAGCTCACCGCGTAGGACATGACGAGGTTGATCATGCCCTCCTTGTCGTCCCCCTGCCTCCCGCTCAGGCTGTACCACTTGTCCTCCACCTTGCCTTGCCTCAGGGACTCGGGGATGGTGATGTGGGTCCACGCGATGCGGTCGTCCATGGAGAAGGCTCTCTGGGGGAGAAGAGGGAGATGCCCCAGGCATCAGGGAAGGGGCCGCCCTCTCCCTGCGGTCGCACCATCATGGGCCCGTCTCGAGTTCCCATCTCATCGGTGGAACAGGGCTCCCACCTGCACCCACACCCTATCAATGAGACCCCTCAGGCAGCACGGGCTTCACGGTCGTTTATCAACGATCCTTCCCTCTCTCCACCAGGATGGGCCAGGGCCAGGGCTAGGTCTGGGGCTGGGGAAAGTGAGGGTCCTGGGCTGCTGTCCTCCTCCAGTTCCAATTCAGGGACACTGGTTGCTCCTCCCCAGCCCTCAGGGCCCCATCCTTGCTCCACTGGCTGCCACCTCCCAAGCCCCAGAGCAGCCGGGGCACAGGCTGGAGAGGACGTGGGGTCTGCCTCCCACAGCTGCCTCTGTACTTCCCATGTGCTCTCCACTCTTCTGAGGGCCAGGGAGGGGAAAGCAGGTCAGGATGGGGAGAGAAAAGCCAGGAGGAAAAGGCAGGGCCCAGGCAGGGAGGACTGGCCATTTGCTGGCCTGGCTGCCCCACACTGCTCCCTAGCCCCCACCCGTGCTCTAGCCTCCCAATGGCACAGGTTCGAGGTGCTGGGACCACGCAGAGCAGCAGCCTCGCCGCATCCCCCTCTGACCTTCTGACTCTGCCTCAGAAGTGCTGCAGGTGCAGCCATGGACAGGACTCAGGACCCTCAAGGGTCACAGCCACTCGCACCATCAAGAACAGCCTTCCCACCCGGCAGGCGGCCGGACTCGCTGGAAATCCCACCTGCTGGTGAGCGGCCAGACCCGGTGCACCCGCCCAGTGGAGGGGACACGTGCACGCTCTGTTCCTGGGTCATGCTTGTCAATGGGGATGTTTCCGAACGTAAGGGTGTTCAAGGAACTAGAAACAATCTCTTTTTTTCACATTCCTTGGGGAGAGTAGGACCCTGTTATGCACCCAATGAAACACCAGGTGGGGACCCACACCTCGAAGCCAGCCAGGAACGTGGTTGTGTCGGCAGGTGTGTTCCCACGGCAGCCACGCTCAGCCACGTGCGGCCTCCCATAATAGCTGGCATGTCCCTCTCACCTCATCGAAGATTTCAAGATAGAACGAGTCCACGCCTGGGGGCACCGTGCAGTGGATGACCTTATTCCAGCGGGGATTCTTGGCGCCATTGTGTGCCGTGGGCGTCTCATACACCGCATAGCCCAGGCGCAGTCGGCAGTAGGGGTCCATGCGGGTCATGCCGTAATTCTTGGCCAACTTTGCCTGGAATGAAGCCAATGTCAGGAAAAGGAGGTGCCAACCATCGGGAGAGGGCGGGTTCCCTAGGCCATCTGCCTCCCTGAACCCTTCCATGAGGCCTTTTGCTAACATATAGACTACAGATACTCAGGGTCGCCAGAACACGACTGTGACCTGCTTCCCAGGAGGCCAGGAGCAAGAACACTGAGCCACAGAGGAATCGTGCAGTTCTGAGACAAAGTACGTGGCTCATCCTTGACAGCAGAAACCTACAACACTCACAGACACAGCTGAGGCCGCCACTCAGCCGCCACGAAGGGTGCGCTCTCTAACCACCTCAGAAGCAGCTGAGGAGGAAAAGACGAGGAGGTCCCGGCACAGAGCTGAGAGCCAGAGCAAGACAGGGAGCATGAACCTGCCCCGGAGCACGATGACCCGGGAGACAGGGAGCGTGAACCCGCCCCGGAGCACGATGACCCGGGAGACAGGGAGCATGAACCCGCCCCGGAGCGCGACGACCCGACGACCCGGGAGACAGGGAGCGTGAACCCGCCCCGGAGCGCAGTGACCGGGAGAGGTGCGTCCCTGCTCCAGGCGGGAGCGCGGACACCTGCTGTGCATGATTCAGACGCCACGTGGCTGCTTTCCTCCCCGTCATGAAGGCAGCAGCCCTGCCTGTGCTATCAGAGCAGGTGGCATTTTGGAGACAGGAACTTGTCTTTCTTGTGTCTCCCAATCACAAGGAGCCACATCACATGTAGACCATGAGATTCGACTTCAGGCCAGGCACTCAGCTGGGCTGGGACATTTGAGGTCCGCGGGGTGGGAGTGAACGTGTGTTACAGGGAATGAATATTCAGAATAAGACAGAAGACTGTGGCACGTAAGATGATTGCTCAGCAAACAAACTCAACGTGGATGGCAGGTTCAAATATAAAACCTAAAACTGTAAAACTTTTACAAGAAAAAATCAGGAGAAAAGCTGTCGTGAGCTGGGTTGGGTTCAGCCCTGCAGCTCTGGCTGCCTCCCTGGAACGCGGACGGCCTCCCCGCACTGCCGCCACCCGCTCTCCTGCGGCCAACCTGGCTCACCCCCAGGAGCTAGTGACAGAGACCCCAGGAGCCATCCCGGCCCTCCCAGCCACACAGAGCCCACCAGTTCCTCCTTCCCAGTATAACAGAGTCCAGACACTGCCCCCGACCCCTCTGAGGGCACGGCCTCCCCGTCCTCTCTGCCCTCTCTCTGAAGGCACGACCACACCATCTGCACCGCCCCCCGCCCCCCCGAGGGCACAGCCACCCCATTCTCACCGTCCCCCGCCCCCCCGAGGGCACAGCCACCCAGTTCTCGGTGACCCCCTCTGAAGGCACCACCACCCTGTCCTCACCGCCCCCTCTGAGGGCACCGCCACCCCGTCCTCGGTGAATCCTCTCTGAGGATACCGCTGCCCTGTCCTCACCGCCTCCCTCTGAGGGCACAGCTGTCCCATCGTCGCCACCCCCCGTCGCACAGCTGAACTCTCCCCTCCTGTGCCCACATCTCTGGACTGCCGGGTCCTCTGTTTTCTATTCTCATCCACATACAAGTTCCCTCCTTTCACTTCTAACCAAAACTGTGGCCGGCCGTTTTATGTCAAAACCGCCCCATTCTTGGGTCCTTAATTTTAGCGTGTTTCTTGGGTGGCCGGAGCGTGCTCTGGAATACTACGGAGAAACAGTTTTCTGGAAGCTCCTGGGTGACTAGCAGCTTCCAATTCCCTTCTGCTGCACACCCACAGATCTGCCAGATCAGCTCTTACACTTGAAACTCCGCCCCTCTAAACTCCTTAGAAATTGCCCTATTTTCTGGAAGGTATGTAGCAGGAAAGTCTGAGACCAGCGTGATGTTCCCAAACTTTCAGGTAACTGTGCTGTTTCTGCCTAGTTGCTAAGACTTTTTATTATTATTAACTTTAAAGGCTTTGAGCAAAGCCAGCATTCCGGGCGGCACGTGGGACTCCCGCTGCCAGCGTCCCTGTGCCCGTCACCGACACCTGCTCACACTGGGTCCTGCCCGCTTCTGCCACACTCAGCCTTGTCCTGTCATTCCCGTCTCCTCCCACCGCCCTCTGCACTGTGGCTAGAAAACTCTAGGAGGAGCGCCCTGTGACATCAACTGCTCTACTGAAGTGACCTCCTTGATGTTTACGGAAGCATCTGCCCATTCACTATGACCCCACACAACCACACGCTGTTGTGATGCGGCAGACGCTGCGGGCACTGCGGGCACTACGGACACTGCGGGGACACGCAGGCACAGCTGCCTCCCCGACAACGGGCAAGAGACGCGCGGCAGACACACGGCATGGCAGACGGCACTACCACTGCAGGCACGACCAGCTCAGAGGACCAATGTGTGGGCTGCAGGATCTGGAGGAAGAGCTGCAGGAAGCGAACGGCCAGGGAACAGGAAGGTCAGGACTGACCGGGGGAGGCAAAACATGGGCCCCGGCTTGAGAAGCCTCGGCAGGACAATGCCCACGAGAAAGGCCTGTGCAGGGAGTGACCTGCTCTGGCCACAAGCCAGTGGCTGAGCGGAGGCAGTGGGTGGTGCAGGGCGCTCCCCGCCTGGACCGGCGGAAGGTGGCGCCTGTGCTGAGGGTCAGGCCTGAAGGGCAAGAGGCGGAGATGAACCGTGGAGCACCAGGAGCACCAGAGCTTTGGGCCTCAGCTTCCAGACTGTGGGGCAGCCACCTGCAGACACGGGGGAGAAGCTGGGAGGGTGGCTTGACAGGTCCACCTTGGGCACATGGAGTCCGGCGTGCCCACGGGACATCCGGGGAGGCCATGTGGCCATGGTCCGTACCTGGGAATCTGGGGTGGAGCTGAGTGTCTGGCTCAGGCCTGGACCAGCACACAGGTGTTTAGACCCACAGGGACGCAGGAGTCACTGGGGTGTGTGGGCAGAGACGGGAGGAGGGCTGAGGACCAGACCCCTTGGCATCCCATTGGGGCCCCAGGAGACGATGAGGGGAAGCAGCCAGGGGAGGCAAGCAGGGAACCACATGTGCAGCTGCCCAGAAGCCAAAAGAAGCAGGAAGCGGGTGCTGAGCTACGTGGCCCAGGGAGGAGGCAGGAATGCTCCCCCGCACTGGAGCTGTGGCACGGAAGGCTGGGTGAACTCGCGTGGAGGAAATAGACAGGCTGCCTGCAGTGGGCTCCAGGATGTGGGAGAACACCAAGGGGGGCCGGAGGCGTGGGCAATGCCAGGGCCACCTCCAAGGCCCAGCCAGGTCTGGAGTTTGAACTGTGAGGCGGAGTGCCCTGCGGTCACCAGGCCCCGCCAGGAGGTAGCGGCTGAGAATGGGTGATGGCACTAGGTGGCCTGGTGGCAGCTGGGGCAGGAAAGCATGGGCTTACAGGAGTTCACTGGGTGGGCAGAGAGATGGGCCACACCAGCAGAGAAACAGCTGCACAGGCAAGGGTTTGAAACACGCTGCGAGGAAGGGGTGACGGCACAGCTGTGCCCACCACACCAAGTGAAGCCCCTGAAACCAAGACTTATTTGTGAGGTCCGCAGCGACTCTTCTGCCTGCTGTATTTGTGCATTTCTATAAAAGCATGCGTGGCTCACAATGCGTTTCCTTTTCCTGTGATCTTACGGAATGTTTTGGTGTGATCAAAATCGGTGTTCAATCTGCCGATTTTGGTTTTCACTTGAAAGTCCACTGAGTCACCACGTCCTGGCGGCTGGTGTCCAGCCCTGAGGCTGACCGAGGGCTGCTCTGTGGGGAGGGGAGGGTGCGGGCACCGGCACTAGGGCCAACGGGAAGCCACTCGCGCAGCACACGCCGAGTGGTGGGGGGCCAGCTGCGCCTCCTCCAGCTGCCGGCAGGGGCCCAGGAGGCGTCCTGGGGCATCCTCAAGCCTGGTGGTGGACCCTACATGGAGCGGACGCCCACCTACCCCCACTACTCATCATTTGAGTTATGTTTGGCAGAACCCGGGGTCAATGCCAATATTTTTCACACAGATCGTTTTCAACATCACACATTTCAGGAAAAGCGGGAATCAGAAGTTCCATTTGCCCGCTTAGGAAATGCAGTGTGAACGCCGAAATCCTCAATCCCACCCCACCTGAGCGCACCAGCCCCCGGCAGGCAGGAGGGTGCCCCAAGGCCCACCTGAACCACAGTGATGTTCAGTCGGCCCACGGTGCCCACGGCGCCTCCGTACTGCAGCTGCTGGGCCGCCTGTGCGTCCAGCTGGACCTGCCGCTGCTGTTGTGTGGGCGTGATGCGGAGGAAGTCCTGCGGGAGCTCGCCGATGTACACCTGCGGGGCCGGGGACCAGAGAGGCAGTGAGTCAGGGTGGGGACACAAAGCAGCCCGATAGCAGCTGCCCCAGCATTCCCGCGACCCGGCCCCACCCCCACCCATTTCCTAATCAAGTCCTGGACTGTGCTCAGCCTCCGTTTCCTCATCTCTAAACCCAGGGGTCCCGGGCGTCCAGCCTGGGACCTGGCCCCCAGCGGCACAGGTGCAGCCCTTACTCAGGAGATCCCCAAATGCAGATTTCTGCTGCTAAAAACGGGTTCCCGTCCTCAAAGCCTGGTCAGGTGGGTTTTCAGGTCATTTTAAAGGGTCTCCCTTGCACCATGTGTGCCCATGGCTTCCTTCTCCTTGTCCACAGCTAAAGGCAGGGCCACTGAACTGCAGGTCACTTGGTCAAACAAATGAATGAGACAAAATCTGAACCTCAGGTCTAAAGTGATTTGGAAAACCCTCTGCTGATATACTTCAAATGTTTCTACATGAAACAGCTGAAATTCAAAAGTACCCCAGAAGAACACAGGAAGTAAATTAATTCCAACCAACCACGAAAGACCTCCCCACTCTGCATCCTGTCTCTCCTCGACCCTCCGTCCCCCGCGGCTGCCCCTGAGGGGAGGAGAGAGGATGGGCCCGTGTCATGGACTCCCAATGACACGGTGCCAGGCAGGGCTCCAGGAGGTTCTGAGTTCAGCCCTGCACCTGCTGTGCTCTGGCCGCCTGGCACTTCAAAGGACCCCACGAGGGTCTAGCTCCTCACCTGTGTCCCCATCTAAGGCCTGGAGAGCACAAGCCAGTCAGCACTCCACAACCAACGGGAGCAAACAGAAGGGACCCGGACAATCCAGCACTGCTTCGCGCGGTTACGGACTCAGGCCCCCGGGTCTGGGGAGCTCTCTGCAGGCTGCGCCCCAACCCGAGCAGCCAGCGCGGTGTGTGCTCAACCGCTCTTCTCTAAAAATCAACACACACTTCGTGCCTTTCCCCACACTTTACCCCGTTTTTGACCGGGACACATCACGAGTGACCTTTGCCCCGTGAGAGAAGCCATCTTGTGAGAACAGCAGAGCGCCCTGGCTTCACCTCCGGAGGGTGTGGCACAGGCCAGGGCCTGAAGGGACCCCCTGACAGACAAGCAAGGAGGGTGCCGAGGTGCCTGAGGGGAGCGGGCCCATGCCAGGAGTCCCAGACCAGCCTCCTCCAGGCAGCCTCTCATGAGGCGCTGTACAGCTTACCAGCAAGCTCTGGCTCAGGAGGGTGCTGAGAGGCCCCGTGGCACGAGATGCTAAGCACCTGCTTCTGTTGGCACACAGGAGACACTGGGGTACAAAAGGCCAGGGCCCCTCACCTGCCTCCCAAAGGAATTCACAGCCCAGAACTCTCTCCCCGGGGGACACCTGGCCACGCAGGACGCGCCTCCCTGCCAACTTCACAGGGCCCCGGCACAGCCCACGTCCGCAGACTCTATCACTAGCTCTGTCTGCTCACCAGGAATGGGTTATCTTGCGGAAACAGACTCGTGCTAACCAAGTTCTTGGGATTAATACACACCGGCCAAATTCCTGTTTATTTGTGACAACTGCTTCCTCCGTGCCACACACACAGCTCCGGGGACACGGCAGGAAAAGCACTGCATCTCCTGGGCACACGTGGGAGACAGGCGGCTCATGTCCTCCTGGGCACACATGGGGGACAGACAGGCGGCGCGTGTCCTCCTGGGCACACATGGGGGACAGACAGGCAGCTCATGTCCTCCCGGGCACACATGGGGGACAGACAGGCGGCTCATGCCCTCCTGGGCACATATGGGGGACAGACAGGCGGCTCGTGTCCTCCTGGGCACACATGGGGGACAGACAGGCAGCTCATGTCCTCCCGATGGGGGACAGACAGGCGGCTCGTGTCCTCCTGGGCACAGGTGCAGGACAGACAGGCGGCGCGTGTCCCGGAAACAGAAGCATGGAGAAGCTGGTCAGGGAGAGAGTGTGGGTGGTGACAGGGGTGTGTGGAAGTGGGGTTCACAGAGGCCTCTGAGGGAGCACCGTGGATCCCTGGCTGTTCTGGCTCCGGGCTGTCCTGGTACTTAGAGGCGCCCGGCGCTCCGCTCCATCTCCTCACTCTGCGTGTCCATTCGAGACAACGGGACTCGCTCCCAGCTCATTGCTGGGAGAAAATAAAACTATACCCGAAGGCCAGATGATCAAGTGTCATCTTCAACAAAGATTTAACCATAAAACGACAAAGAGGAAACGAGGGCTGTTAATGTAAGCCGTGTGGACAGAACACGGAAAGGGGAGAAGCAGCCCCCAAGGATGGAGCTTGTCAGCCCACGCAGCCCGGGGAACGTGGCCAGCACCACGTGGCAAGGGTGCATCCGGCTCCTCAAGATGACGCACACCTCACCTCTGGGCTTTCTTCCCCAAAACCCACACCCCGATTAAGAGACATCTGACAACATTCCTGACCCTTCAGTCCTCCTCAAACTGTCAAGGTCCCAAAAACACAAGGGAAGCCTGAGAGACGGCCCCAGATTGGAGACGGAGACACAAAGGCTAAATGCAAAGTGGGGTCCTGGGACAGCAGGGGACAGTCATTGAAAAACCAGGACATCCAAACAAAACCTGGAGCCAGCAGTCACGCCCCAGGTCGGCATCACAGCTAGGAGAGCTGTTCCCGGGGAGGGGAGCGTCGGCCGGGGAACGTGAGTGAGACACACAGGACCTCTTTGTGCCAGCTTTTCAATTCCATCTAAAACTGAACACTACAAAATTCAAGGTTTTTCAGAAAAATATTCCACTTAATCTAAAGAGAGCAAGAACGAGAGAGGAGTGGGAGGAGAGGGCTTCAATCCTCCCCGTACAAACACTGGTTACGCAACCTGCTGCCCCGCCTACGAGGGAGAGGCGGCTTGCCGGCTGCTGCAATGCCCTCGTTTCTCAACTGAGAGCGAAGCCCTTCAAACGGGGAGGGGGGAGTTCTACCAGTTCATGCTCCATGAGTCACAGGGGAGTCCAGGTGCTGAAGTAAACCCTATCGTTTCAGTGGTGACACTCAGTAAACATCTATTTTGAATTTGTTTTTTAAATTCAGTGCTAATCCTAAAATTTACTTTTGTCATATTACGATGGAGGAGATGTTTCAATGGTCACGTACAAATATATGCTGTACCCTGGTTCAAAGGCTTGGAAATATGAAAACAAAAATGATTACTCCTGATACATAATGGATATTTTTCTAGAGTTTTACTTCCATGTACAAGATGTACATACTGGCCGGGCGCGGTGGCTCAAGCCTGTAATCCCAGCACTTTGGGAGGCCGAGACGGGCAGATCACGAGGTCAGGAGATCGAGACCAGCCTGGCTAACATGGTGAAACCCCGTCTCTACTAAAAAAATACAAAAAACTAGCCAGGCGAGGTGGCGGGCACCTGTAGTCCCAGCTACTCAGGAGGCTGAGGCAGGAGAATGGCGTAGATCCGGGAGGCTGAGCTTGCAGTGAGCTGAGATCCGGCCACTGCACTCCAGCCTGGGCGACAGAGTGAGACTCTGTCTCAAAAAAAAAAAAAAAAAAAAAAGATGTACATACTGAGTTCAACACTAACAAGTAAGTTTAAACGCCTGTGTGAAGGCTGACAATTCCACTTTGGGAACCAGTCCCATGTCAGCGCTCGCTTGGGCACGTGACCATGGGATGCCTGCGGCTGCATCCCCTGTGCGGTCAAAACCCCCGTCCATCAGCCAGGCACATCCACCCAGCGCAGGGACACGCGGCCTCAACCGGAGCCGGAAGTCCTCGCCTGGAACACAAGGAGACCGGGGGATGGAGGCGGAGGCACAGCACGACATGCTGGGGGAGCCATAAGGAGGCCTCTGTCGAGACCAGCTCTGAAGGAGCGTTCGAGAATGGAACTCGAGGGACACGGGCAGGGAAGGTTCTTTATTTATACTTTCATATCCTCCTAGTTATTTTTAGAAACTTTTTTAAAACCACATTCGTGAATTACTTTTAAAATAAAAAGGACAGTGTAGGGCTCTCATCCCACAGAGCTCTCTGTGTTTTATCTTCTCTGAAAATAAAAGCTACTTTTATAAATATTAGTCCGTTTTAAATACAGTTTAAAAATGTAACGTCACATTTCTTGGACTTGCTGATTCTCCTCCCCCTGTGGTGCTCTCAGAGGATCACGACGCACGCCTGTGACTGACGACCATTCCTCCCTTGCTGACGCCAGAGCTCAAACCATTGCAGCACCTTTCCACATCAAAGAAAAGAGATCGCCAAAATTCACTTCTAATTTAAAACAATTTCCCTTCAAGTCTAAGTTTTACTTTTGGCACAGAAATAAAGTCTTAATTCTTCTTTTTTTGTCATGTAACGTGTGTAGTCAACCCAAAGCTAATTTTTTCTTTTTAAGCACACAAACAAGCACCCACTGTGAATATTCCTGCGACATGTTTCCAACTGAGAGAGCCGCTGCTTCCTGAGGCCCCACTTTCTGCCCGACAGAGCCCAGGAAGAGCCCTGCTCAGCCCAGGATGTGCAGTCCTGAACACACGCAGTCCTGGCCTCAGTCCTGCCAGGAGGCATCAACCTGAGGAGCCGCACCACGGACGCCCCGGGAGCATGGCTGGCCACGTGCGGGCGGCAGGAGGCCAGGGTCTCCTGGCCACTTCCACGACTGGCCCTCTGTGGAGCCTTTTTACACCTTCTCACCATCCCCAACCCCATGATGCTGTAAGGCTGTGGAGCTGCTGTTTGTGTTTGTGTGCCATGCGTGCACCTGCACTTGGCACGTAAACACTGCAAGCAAGGCTCTAACGAGTCTCAGCGCTAATGCCAGGTTAGCATAACTAAGTCAAATTAAGTTCAATTAAAAACTAAAACGCTTCTAACACTTCATGACTATGTGCTGAGCAGCGTTGAGTGTAATTTATTTACATTAATTGTAATGTATCAAATCACACGTACAAATAAACAACTTACATAAACACAGTAAAAACTATCCTTAGTGAACTGAAGCTTTTGCTTGATGTGAGAAAGTACTTTTTAACTGGCTGCTTGGTATGCTTTGAGCAAACTGACATCATTGGCGAAGGACTAAATGCATTTAGTGGAATTAAATCACAAAATGTCAACGATTCTCATTCAATTCTCCAAGCCAGAGTCTCACACCAGCACTGAGGATCCCACACAAACGGCATCCGTGGGCGCCTGCCCACCCTCCCCGCCCACCTCACAGCAGGCCTGAGCTCGCACACGTGTCGTGGGCCTCTGAGAACTTCGGATCCACGCGCTGGGGACACCCAGAAAACCCAGGGGACAAGGAAATACTAAGGAACAAAAAATCCAGGAGCTGAGCTGGGGAGGCACACACAGCAGTCAAATCCCAGGAGTTTCCTCCCCCAAGAACCCCTTTTGCCCTCTCAGGGTCAATATCACCCCCACATTGAGAAAAAGCGTTAAGGGCTGCTGAAGCCACAAAGCCAGCCCATGGAGGCCCCAACACAGAAGCCCAACTAGTGAAACTCTGTACCCCGAGCCCCGGGTTTCACCAGTTCCTAACGCAGCCATGACTCAACGTGACTTTCAGAGCTGGGACCCACAGCAGGAAGACCTGGGCGAGGCTCGTGGCTAAAGGGACAGAGGAAGCTAACGAAATGAGAGAGAAATAAACCCCCCGTAACCGGAACACCTGGGGATATGGGCGGAAGTCAGTCTCACAAGACTCTTGGGTGAGGTCTGAGGTCTGAGTCTGCTGGGAAGGGAGCTCCAGACTCCGTCAGGGCCCCAGGACTCACATAGAACGGCACAGTTGGCCCAGATGAAGCTGAGAACCTGCAGCCCAGGTCATCGCCAGCCTCCCTGCTGCGTCTGAGGGGCCGGCCCTGCAAGGAGCCTGCTCCATGCCACGGTTCTGCAGGGGAACGTCCGCTGCCAGGTTCGCACCCAGGTCTGAGCTGTCTGGCCCAAGAGAAATGGCCCGTCCACCTGACGCCCGCACACCTGTGATTCCCATCCAGACCCAGGGGGCGAGAGGGCAGGAACGCGCACCAGGGCTGAGACACAGGGCCGTGGGCAGTCGGGATAGACCCTGGGTGGCCCTCGCGGTCCCTCTGCCCGGCTGACTGACCCCTCAGTGCACAGAGCTTCAGAGACTGAAGGGCTGGCCTGCACATGCCCCGCGCTGCACACTCATGGCCAACAGGGGAGCCCCGCAGAGGTGAAGGACTCACCGACGCTCACCGCTGGCCACTGCCATTGCCCTGTAGGTTTAGCATTTTCCAAAATAAGGCTGGAAGGAAAACTGCAATTCCCCACGCCCACCCAGCTGCTGGCTCCCTCACCTACCACCCTTCACAGCACCAACATCCAAAAGCTGCACCAGTCCCCCACCCCACAGCCCCTGGCACTCCAGCCAGCCTCGGCCCTCACGCTCCACGCCAGCCTCCTGGCACTCCCCAAAACCCACTCCAGCCAGCCTCGGCCCTCACGCTCCACGCCAGCCTCCTGGCACTGGCATGTTCAATAAACAACCCTTGAGCAAACAAGTGGCATTTCGTGCATCTGCGCTTGGCAAGGCAGCTCCCACGCCAGTGTGGACGGGCAGTGGTGACTGTGTCCCCAGTTCCCACATCCTCCCTGCACAGCCGCTCAGCAGTCCCCTCCCAGGAGCCCTCGCTGAGCACTCATTCGCTGTGCCTTGTCTTACCTTCCCTCTTCCTACCGCCCCCTCCCCTCTTCCTTTAATTACACAGAACACAACAGGCGCTTCAAAGCCAACATGCCAGGAGGTTTTCCGGCTCTGCTGAAGTCTCGAAGCGAACACTAGAATTTTCATAAGGGAAGCTGGGAGATGACAGTATTGAAACGAACCCGTGTAAGCTGAAAAAGGGTGAAAGGGAAGAGGACAGGACGGAATGAGAATAAGCATAAATCATAAAAGCTGACTACAGAACAAGCGACTTTAAATGGGGTCTCCACCAGGAACTCCATGGCACACAGCCTTGCATCCTAAGTGCTGGGACGGTCAAGCAAGGCAGAGGCGGAAAACCCGTCTTCATTCAGACGAAACAAAAGCCAGTTAAGCAGCAGGCCAAGGGCGGACAGAGATCCAGAGAGGGATGGCGTGTGACATGGCAGGCCCTGGGCGCCGGGCATGGGGTGCACGCTGCAGCAGCCTCTGCGTGTCACTGTGTGCCTGAGGCTTCCGTGGTAAGGTGCTGGAGGACCCCGGCTCCTGTGGTGCTCACACCTCAGTGGAAGACAAATGGGAAGCAACACGCGTTACACCGTATGCTGAAGGCAGGAGGCGCTGTGCACAGAAACAGGGCAAGGCCGGGTGGCAGGGGCACGCTGCACTTCCCGCAGGGCAGCAGGGCAGTCCTCACCAGCACGGTGCGCCAGGGCAGGGCCTGCAGGATCTGGAGATAGTGACTCAGGGACAGGAAACGCTTGCACAGCAGGCCTAACCAGGGGCCTGTTGGGCAGGTCGAGGGACAGTGTGAGAGGCCCAGATGAACAGAGGTTAGGGCCGGGCGCAGGGGCTCACGCCTGTAATCCCAACATTTTGGGAGGCCGAGGCGGGCAGATCACTTGAGACCAGGAGTTCGAGAACAGCCTGGCCAACATGGTGAAACCCCGTCTCTACTAAAAATACAAAAATTATCCGGGCGTGGTGACAGGCGCCTGTAATTCCAGCTACTCGGGAGGCTGAAGCAGGAGAATCGCTTGAACCCAGGAGGTGGAGGTTGCAATGAGTTGAGATTGCACCACTGCACTCCAGCCTGGGAGACAGAGCGAGACTCCATGTAGGAAAAAAAAAAAAAAAAAAGGCCTCAAGTGAACTGGGAGGCAGGCCAGAAGCAGCGTATTCAGAATGCAGCAAAGAGGCGGCAAAAACGAAGGAACCGGAGGAAGAGACGTCCACTCCCCGACCGCTCAGCAGCCACTCTGGGAGCCGGGAGGGGGCGGGGTCCCACCTTCGAGGCACTGAGGACAAGGGACCGTCCACCTGGAGGACCGTCCACCCAGAGGACCGTCCACCCGGAGAACCGTCCACCCGGAGTTCCACACACACAAAAATAGCTGTCAGGACACAGAGAAAAGGCATTTACAAGCAAAAATCAAGTTTGCCAGCAAAGAAAATTCTAAAAGATGAACCTGAAGCTGAAGGAAAGTGACCCCAAATGGAAGGCCTGAGACACAGAAGGGATAAGAACAGAGATAAACACAGAAGGAATCCAAACAAGCACTGACTCGAGAGAAATAACACGTTCCTGCGGGACGTTCCTGTGGGAGCCCCAAGGGGAGGCGGCGCCCACACAAGGCACAGCAGCACCTGTGCCGGGACGGGGCGGCCGAGGTCTCTGCGTGGATCAGGAGGCGGAACAGACAATGATTAACTTCTTCTTTAATTATTTTTCAGTCGGGCAGCCTCCGGAGCCAGAGTTCACTCAGAGACTCCCTCACGGCAGAAGCTGATAAGTGCACGTTACCATTTCCAGGAGAGCCCCCGCACTTTCCCAGCACAGTGTGTATGTACTTGAGATAAACAACTGAATTTTTTAAAACTCCGTTTGGCAATGAGAGAAAAAGAAACAAGAAAATGAAGGACAAATAAAAGCACGAACGAAAACATCTAAATAATCTGTAAATCTGTGTATACATCTAGACGTCTATAACTAGAAAAATGAAACTAGCATGTTCCCATCAAAACACTTAGTTAGACTTCTTAGAGTTGACTTTTCAAAAAAATGTAAAATCAAAGAAGGAAAAAATACTAGGTAAATACTCTCTAAAAGACAGCTGGAGTGGCCATGCCAGTATCAGACAAAATAATTAAAGGCAAAAGGCCTTTATCTTCCAAGAGGCCCGTGGGTCCCCACCCAGTGAAGAGATCTGATTTCCAGGCAAGCACAGCAATTTACACCTGTCCACACTCACAACCCGGCCTAAAAAACCCGGCACAAACGTTCACAGGGACCCAGAGAGAAAAGACGCAAGGGCAGGCGGTGAGCGCGTTCCCCACTGGCTCAGGTGCAGCTGGCAGAAAGGACGCCCACCCAGCAACGGCCCGCCTGAGCGGGTGAGTGCCACTGGCTCAGACACACAGGACGCAGGAAAATCCAGGGGCTCCTCACGACACTCGGGGGAGGAAGTCCACGCACACCTACAAGGAAAACCAATTCTCTCCCTGAGGTATGGGAAGGTGAAGGAAAAGCATTTCACTTGCCTTTCCTTCACAAACTGTATTTCAGGACAACAGGCTGACACTGGTTGACGGGGAAAGCTAATCTTTACAAACAATAAACACTGAATAAGTGATGAAGTTCAGAAACTACCCTCTGCCATCCCTAATGAAGTCACCGATTCGGCAGGAATTACCAACGATGTGAAGAGTGAGGGGACCTGGACAGGCACAGGCCTCGCAGGGAGGAGAGGAGGGGCCAGGCCGCCTCCAGCTGGACTCCATGGTCAACCAGCACCTCCAAAAGCAGGACAAGGAGTAGGAGCAGCCTGGACCCGGCACGGCGCACCCACCTCTACCAAGGAGGCCTCTCTAGCCGATGACGCCGCGGTGGCTGAAGGCAGAGTCTCCTGCAAACGTCCCGAGTTCTCACTGCAGAATGCAGGGGCTCACACGGTACTCCTTGCGTGCTTTCTGATAATATGCAGACTATATTGAAAAAAGGTTATCTTTCCAAAATACTGGCCTTTTTGAAAAGTGAGGGAAGCACTGCACAGGGCTGAAGCATCCCTTAGTGGCTATTCACGGAAACATTATCCTGAAGATCTAAACACGGTATGATTCTCTCAGAACGATAACGGGCTGGCTAGCTTCACACACGTCCTCTCCACACCTACCCACCCAGGCCCCTGAAGCTCCCTCTACCCAAGGACAAAAGAACCTCCCAGGGCCCCATTAGCAGCCTCTGCTCCTTCACAGCCCGTGGGATCTTGCTGTCTCCCCTCACCACCAGGGTGAGGCAATGACCACAGTCAGGGTCTCCCGAGCCAGAGTCCTGCCCCCGCACCCTGGGGAGCATCTCTCTCTGTTGGAAAGCCGAGCAACTGCTTAACCTCCTGCCTCCCCAGCACCGCAAGGGTAACAGAAAGTGGAGGACACGATAAATACTGTGTCAAGACACTGGCTAAAGGCCCACTATGAGTTAATTCAGAGGGGCTGGGGTGGCACATGCTCAGTGAAGCAGGCCGGTGCCAAGGCGGGCCCTGCAGTGGGCGTGTGCCGGGCAACACTTTACAGAGTGCTGCGCTGACCCGACAAACTCCAGGGCCAAGTCCAGCCCTCCTGTGCCCAGGACCCTCCTGCGGCCACCAGCTCCTGCCTCCCTCCATCCTCAGACCCTGGGGTTCCCTCCTCTCGACCTCCAGACCCCACACCTCTGTTTTCTGTGCACTCCCCTCCCAGCTCACCCCCCAACTCCCATTCCTCCTCCAAGCTCAGGAGAGATGTCACGTCCTCACTCCAACACCCAGCCCTGGTGAGGCCACCATTTACGAACTCTCCTAGCACCTGAGGCTTAAGATCACAGACCCACCGCGCCATCACCACATGGCTCCGCTGTCCTTATGTGCTGCCATGTCTACCGTGCTGCCCTGTAAGATCCCGGTGGCAGGAACCACCTGGTTGCCCCTGTATCGTGGCCATCCTAAACGTCACAGTCAGTAACGCTGGTTGATTAAGTCACAGGTACTCCAAGCAGCACTCGAGACCCCCGTCGCTGATACCACCTTCTTGGAGACCCTGGCAGTTCTGAGCCAGATCTGATGTTACTGTGCATTTACTGGGCAGCGGGGGTGCCCCTGAAGTGCCTGCTCGTCTACGTGACGGAAACAGCCCAGGAGGCACCAGGCAAGAGGAGATGCTAACAACACCTCAGCACTTGTCAGCACAGGCCCTACGTGTGAGAACATCTCTTGCCGCTCCCACTTCCTCATCGCGGGCGTAGGAGCACTGCACGCCGGTGCCCTCAGAACAGGAAGGGCCTGCCTCCCACTGCTCCGTGAGTGCTCAGCAC